GTGAAACACGAGGTGTCGCTAAAGAAAATAGTTCTCCGGACATGACAAGTGATAATGCTGTGGGTCCTTATTCATTTGCTCCCCTCCCTTCTCCCTCTTTTTGTCCAGCTGCTTCATATCAGCGTGCAGGCTTAAGCAGTTTGGGCATTGAGTTATCTTTTTCAATTTCTCTCACAGCTGAGAGTGATTAGGTCACCATGTTGTCCTTATGTTTGACACAAGAAGATATGTGAGGAGATGGGTCAGGCAGCCGTAATGCAATGCCATGAAGGCTCAGATCAACAATATAACCACTTTTCTTAAACCATCTGTCACATTTCATATTAATCAAAGTTTGTCTAACTCCATCTGGATGCCCAATCCCACACATTTTTTCCAAGTATTCGCCATGGTCAGTGTCACAGCAGTGAAACCATATGTAATATGCTCTCTCATACATTACACAATGGGAATGATTCAGTGCAGCCATTCATGGTTAAAAGCACATCTAAACAAACAACTTTTAGGAAGAGCAGAGACGTTTTAGGAACACAGATGGGCTTTTTTACGAAGTGGCATGAAAAATGTCTTTCCAACCTTTAACTTGTTTCATCAGTCTATCTCTCCTGTGTAATATGTTTGCGAATCTTGATGGATCCCTGCTTTGCTTAATCTGTAGTGTTCCCATTCCATGGAAAAATTTGTAAAGTGCTTGGATTTGGAAAAGACCCCAAGCAGTTGCTCTACATCTTGGAAAGTGTCCATGTTCAGTTTAGCACAGTCAGCACTCTGACCTGGCTATGCATTTGATATTTAAAGGGGACATATAATGAAAATCTGACTTTTTCCGTGTTCAAGTGCTATAATCGGGTCCCCGGTGCATCTACCAACCCAGAAAAGGTGAAAAAGGACAACCCAGTAACTTGGTTTTGGTAAGCCTTTCTCTGCAAGCATGTGAAAAAAACGAGCTGCTCAGATTTCGCTCCCCTAGTGACGGAAGGGGATCATATAATATCACCGCCCCTTAACCTGCACCACCCACGGCGCTGTTGTTACTTAATATACAGATCTAATATAAATATGCGATTTCTTTCCCAACTGTTTACCTTCACAGACATAACCGACTGTGTTTTTGTAACTTATGTGTGTTTTTAACATAAACCTGTGTGTATTTGACAGTTTAAGCGCAATAAGACATGAAAGAGAACATGCTGTGTGACGGCTGCTTTCTGTGCACGTGCTTTGGATGTGTGCGCTCAGAAAACCGTATATCAGAAGTTCAAACTGATATGGCTTTAAAACGCATGATTTCAGCGTGATATACATGATAATCAAAACCAGACAGATGTTTTTTGGCAGAGTATTTGAGTATTTACGAGCTGTAAAGTCACAGCCCCAGAAAAGGTGGTGGCAGGGAGCAGAAGCTCATTTGCATTTAAAGATACAGGCAAGAAAACAGCTTTTCTGCTTCCACTCAAAATAGGCATTTTCAAAATGATATAATAAATTATCTGTGGGGTATTTTGAGCTGAAACTTCAGAGACACATTCTAGGGACACCTGAGACTTATATTACATTTTGAAAAAAGGGGCATAATAGGTGCCCTTTAAAAGTTTATTATGACAAAACACACACTTTTCCCCCAGGGTAATTAATGCAAGATGCAACATTTCTGAGCACTAGATGTACATCGAGTGGCTAACATCGGCATATTTATACACCTAGAAATCAGCCCCTTTTCTATTTTGAGATAATTCCCAAGAAAGTTTTTTGTAATGCAAAATTGTGGGAATTTATTCTGAAGAAAAAAAAAACATGACCAAGTGCACAATCCAAAGGCCACTGTGGCAGGAGGGTATGGCCTAAAAATGTTTTTATCTGAGATCAACATAAAAACATGATATTGAGTGTAACACGTTGCATTGCTTTGAAAAAAAAAAATGTGATAAACGTCTCACAATGTGACTTTATATCTTGTAATTTCATATTTGTTTCTCGTAATTGTGAGTTTAAATCTCACAATGTGACTTTTTCTTGTTACTGCCACTTTGTTTCTTGTAATTGTGACTTTATATCTCACAATGTGTCTGTCTCACAATTGCAAATTTATATTCCACAAATGGGACTTTTATATCTCACAATGTGACTTTGTTTCCCGTGATTACCACATTTTCAATTACTTTGTCACAATTAATTTTTAATTTTTTACTCTGAGGCAGAAATAGGTTCCATACATTTCTAAATGACTTTTTGTTGAATTTATCCAGCATACTAGAAATCCAACTGTGTATACAGTATGTGTGCAATCTATTAGAAACCTGTATTTTATTGGATCATAACTGCAAGTACTTCTCTCTATTCCTCATGAGAATGCACAAGACTCTGCCTCAGTGAACCTAATCAAATTCATTTTAAGCCTGGTGATATATATATATAGTATATAAAAAAATCTAACTCGAAAGAAGAAGAAATAAAGTAATCCAGAACCAGGGAATCTAGACGTTATGTCTGATTGCCAGTTGATTGTGAGGTAAAGTTCAGCATAGTGGTGTAGGGACATTCAGTGACTCATCTTGACCCTTCTTTGAGCACTCAAGCCAACTTTCAGCATCCATTCAAGCTTTCTAGTTCTTATCATCTCATCAGAGCCAAGAGGAAGGGAAGTTTACACTGACTTGAAGTCACCATTATTACACGATTGCAAGTCCAAAACGCTACAGTCAGCTTCTCTCTCCCTCATTCATACTTTTTTATTCAGGAGCCTTACAGCTGGTGCATAAATCCATATTCACTCCAGAAATTAATCTTAAAGTGTAGATCTAATCTCCAACTCTTTTCATCTAAACCTAATGTAAAACGGTTTGTAGCCTTCTGTCCAAATCTATAACCCAAGGAATCCCATAAAGCGGCAGGTTTAGTCACTTCAGAGAAGATACTGTAACTGTAAATTAAGAATACTTCTAAAATATTTTGTGGCTTTAAGGAGCAATGTATATTGACCCAAGATGTTTATACTGCACATGCAGTGATTTAAAAATCAGCAAATCAAAGTATTCTAACGATTCTTTCATAATTACTAGAGTGCAAAGTAACATTTGTTGTTAAAATATATTTTAATGAATCCTGTGTAAAATGATTATTATTAGCATATAGGGATATGTCTTTATTGCTTTAATTTATAATAGCCAACATCACATATCAGCATGATGTATTGGTATTCCGCCACCCTGCTGCCTAATAACTGCTATCACCATTGGCCACTGAAAAACATTTATCAGTCATATAAGTGCACATTGCTGAGACAGGTGTTGGGACAGACACAAATGCTTAAAAATAGACTAAGAAGAGGGAAATATACAAGGGGTTTCCTAGAGAACATTAGTTTCCTAGAGACTTTATATGTAATAGCATATTATGTCATATTCTATTCAATATTATGCTCCTTGCTCTTTACTTATGTATTGACTCAAAGCTGTTTGTATTAATGTAAACATCAATTTGACTAAGAACTCTTATGAGAGAGAGGCAAAGGAAATAACTGAATGTACAGTTTAACTGCACAATCTGAAGTAGGAACAAGAACATAATGCACGTGTGATTGATCATTATGAGTAATATGTTCAGTGATTTTAAAATGAAGTTTAGTCTGCACGCTACATTAGCGACACATATGGCAGGAGTGGCTTTCTGAGAGAGGGGTGTCTCTTAAGAGTACGCCCAAGTCTCGGCTAAGTAATCAGCAAACTGGAGACCACCACAGTTGCATCGACCCCCTTTCTGGTATTATGCATGCAAACCAAGAGCTCTGACCGAGCGCTTGTTAGCGACATGGAAGTCACTTCTATTAAGTAGAGAAGAAACGCTTTGGATGTGGCAACCGTGCGGCAGAAATCCCGGCTGAGCGCGGCTTCAAGGGACAGCGGAATAGTGAATTCGGGCTTGCATGCATTCATTTTTTTAACGTGGACAATCATGTTTTTGTTCTTCTGGGGACTAAGATTTTTAGTATTGCTCGCTGATTTTATGAATGCATTAGCTTCTGCAGGGAGACCGCGAGGATCAGAGAAAGGTACGGGCTCTTTTCGTGATCTTTTACTCTCTCGTTCAACTCTGTACCTTGAGGAGCGGAGAATGAATGACTTTTCCTTGCTTGCTTCAGAGCTCATAGCGCGCTATATGAAGAGTCTTCGAGTAATAGTAGGCTAACTGACTTGACACCTGATTTATTTCGTGGAGTAAAAAAACACTGTTAGCAAGTATTTGATGGAGATTTTCATATTTTTTTTGTATGCAGTGTAGGCTGACATTATGAATTGTTAAAGAAAACTTAAAGCTGTGTCCCTAGGTTATTCATCAACCCTGTTACCATTATATTTCTCTATTTTGAGTAATGATTTTTTCTTCTTCAAAAGGTGAACTCTTCAAGGACAGGTTTAAGTCTTATCTTTTTCATCATGTTTTATGTTTTTAAGTAGGCAACGATTTTACAGTGTCAACCCTGTTACCATGATCATTGATAACTAAAAAAGCAGGTATTTAAAGAATTATCGACATTGTTGTCTGTATATGAAGTGTAGTTTCGCTATATTGTAATGTCAAATTACAATTTAAAACTGTCAACCCTGTTACCTGTTTGTTACATAGACGCGCAGTGCAGTATTCGACCATTTAGACAATTTGTCTGAAAAAAGTTACAAAAATGTACTTTAAAAATCATATTACACTCCAAACGATATTTATAGAATAGTATTGTTTCTGAATTTTACTATTCAATCTCTGTTTTCGTCCACAGTGAAACTGCCGCAGTTTGGCGCGTATGAGATTGTAACTCCGGCCAGAGTGAATGAAGCCGGTGACACACTGCCAACGGGCGTGCACTTCAAGAGGAGAAAGCGGAGTACCGACCCAGTTACCGGTGTTGTGCCGAATTCCGACTCCCTGCCGGGATCTGACTCCCCTCGCGTGCGCGCGCATGACGTCATACGATGCCGACAGTTGCGAAAACAGACAGGCGTATCTCCCATCATTGGACCTCACCGCACGTCTATTATCAAATATCTGCCTTTGGGCAGGACTATTACCTTAATCTTACGCTCGAGTCGGGATTTATTGCGCCAGTTTACACTGTCACGATACTCGGAGCATCCAGTGAAGGCAATAATTCAGAAGAGGGGGAGGAGGAGGACACGGAGTATCAGCACTGCTTTTATAAAGGACATGTGAACGCTGGGCAGGAGCATACTGCAGTTATCAGCCTCTGCTCCGGTTTGGTGAGTTGTTTATTGTTAACAATACTTATCTTAATCATAATTTAGGCGATACAGGTCGCAGTAAGCATTCGAAAACTTTACAAATGTTCATATGCACTTCAGACCTTTCGTATGTGATTACATAATTAATTACTCACACATAAAAAGAAGTTTAGCGCGAGTTAGTAGTCGGATACATGCGCACCAATATTGAGGCAGATCACTTAGAAAGTATATTCTCAACATATTAAGTCAGCGATCATACAAGATTACGCTCTGTAGCCTAAATGAACCGGGTGACGCACACTCATCAGTAGCATAAGCAGCAGTAGTGTGTGCTGACGTCAATGTCAGTCCATATATGGGACTCAGATGTCATCTTGACGTGAACGTGAGTTCGCGCCATGGAACGCCGTTTCTCACAGATCAGAAGTAGTCATGGGAACTAGTGAATCGTTTTTTCGAATCGTTTGTTCCAAAGAACCTGTTCAAACCCGTATTTAGCGCCTTTTTTGTTGTCACTTGGTCCTTGACATCCAGGTAATGCCAAGTCTAAAACATTAAAAAACGTTTTTTTCCAGTAATTTCTTGTTTCCCAATACAATTTGTTGCATGCAGACAGTCATGATTCAGTTAATTAAGAAACTATAACTTACACTTCCATTAAACACTAAACAAATTAATTTATATCTTTCATCTGAAAGTGCTTTAGCTTGCTTAATTAAAACAGAACTTGTACACAAGCTGGAGATTGTCTCAGTTCCAGCAACATCTGTGATTTGACTGACTGCTTTTCATAGGTTGCAGACAGGGAAAAATCGATTTCACATTATCCGGAGCCCTCCAAAAGCAATCTGTTACTGGTAAAACATCTGCAATAATGCAATGAGATGCTTGCAATTTATGTGTCGATTGAATGTCAATGGAGGACACAAACTCACATAAACTTATTAGTTAGATCTGCATGTCCCCTTAATGTCCTTCATCTTCATACGAGTTTGTGGCTAGATTTCATAAAATATTGTCAGAAGGCATTAGAAGTCCATTATTTTAAAATGTGCTATCATGAGAGCGGTAGGCTTTCATTAAATGTATTGAAATATGGAAGGATGTGTGTCCCTAGTTACCTGTCTTTTCAATAAATTTGATGTTTGCAGTCAAGTTTGCTCTTGATTGCCCTCAGGCACCATAACAACTGATGATATTGGTTTAAAATATTCAGGTCATTTAACAAAACCTGAAAGAGAAAATGTAATGTTTACCCTTTATTCCATTTAAACCTACATATTGAAGAAACTGGTAAAATTCTGACATAACATGATTCATTTATTGCTTCTTTCAGGGTTTGAACCTATGAAGTTTGGATTTCCTGCCTAGATAACACTCTGCCACCCCAATTAGCATAGAGGGCCTGTAGCCTGGGTATTATATGGTTATTTGGTATTTTAACATTACATTTATTGCACATGTATTCTTATTCAGAATCTCAGGTAAATTTTAGTAAATTAGTCAGGCTAGTTTGTGATGGCCAGTTTGTATCCCTTCATACTCGGGTTTATGCAAACACTTTGTCTAAAATCTGTTTTCTGTAATATAATAACCAGCCTCAAACCTGTTCAATATGTTTCTTCTTGAAGATAAGAAGAGGATTTACCAATGTGCTTCTCGCTGGCTTTTAGGAAATTTACATTTCAAATCTTTATGGATCATAAGTGTAGCTGAATGTTCTGATAGTTATCAGTATTCAGTAACATTCTGCATTCATTACCCCCCAGAGGCCAGTGCACTTATATGCATGCAATATATGTTTACTTTATCACTCCATCAGCCACTTAGGATTTCTACGTAAGTAAAATCTTAGGGGGAAGTTGTGAGGGCAATTTACAGTCACACACAGAATGTGTCTATAGATTTCACTGGCCATGGACCAATTTAAACATTGTTGTTATTTGTTTTAGCTTGGCACTTTCAGGTCACAAGAAGAGGAGTTTTTTGTAGAGCCCCTTCATAGCTACAATGGTCAACATTATGAAGAAGAACACATCAAACCTCATGTCGTGTACAGAAAAGATGCATCAAAAAAGACTGTAGATGATTCAACTACATGTGAAACTTCAGGTAAGCAGGAAGACACCTAACTCTTACTTCTTTGGAATGGGAAAGATTAAGATTAGATAAAACATTTGATTTTAAACATTAAAGTAAATCAATGACTGTAATATTCACAATAACGGAACTTCATTGTTAGATACTGTACTGAATCTTTCATCAATGCAGTGAATTCACTGCCTCCCAGTGACTCCCAGTGCATTGTACTCAATCTATTCAAGATTAGAAACGTTAAATTACCATATTGTTTCTGTATAGTTATGCAAATGATATATGTTAATGCATATGTAACTCGACCAGTTGTAATTCTGTAAATCTAAATATGATTATGAATATGTACAGCACAGCACCTCTAGGCACGGAAACGAACATGCTATCATTGACGTTCAAATACTCATAGTGCTATTCATGGTATCATTTACATCCTTCGGTTTTCTATTTTCAAATGTCATTGAGTAGAAGTCAGTGGAACAGGAAAAATTATTTTGGAAGTTCTTGGTATCATTCCAATCTTAGTTTACTGACACAAAATCCTGTTGACTCTTGCACTTCCTGTGGCTTGAAGATAAGGAAACTCAAGAGGCCCAATACCATGAAAGCCATGTAGTGAGATGCATTGTAGTAAAGTAATGCCAGTTTTAGGTGTTTGTAAATTCATTGTTACAAAAATAATGCACGCTGCCATGTATAAATAGCACTCAACAGCAGCTTTGTTTTTTGAATTACCCCTTTGGTATTGTGTTAAGGAAACGTTTGGGCCCCAAAATTGCTGGGAGATGAACTTATTTTAGATGGCAAGAGTTTTATTGAAAGCTCTATTGTGGCTTTCTTTTTGTCTAGTGGAATAGGATTCATTTTTATTCCCAGCACACTTTTTTTGCCAAGTGTTTTTTTTGTTTTAAATCAATTACCCATTGTTTGACGTTGAGTATATAAGGACTGGGTTATGTTGCATTTTTGTGCTATTTTAAGCTTAGGGAAATTAAAACTATCCAGTTATTGCATTTAAGTAGAAATCATAATGAAGCTCTATAAACATCTATTGTGACCTAAGATTTGACTGTCCATAGATGAGGAGTCATTATGCAACTTTTACTATTTTGGCAGGTTGCTAGGCTTACAATAAAACTTCCATTCCATACCGTACATTAGCATTCAAAAGTTTAGGTATAATGTTTGTAAACATTGCGGTAAAACAGTGATATTGTGAAATATTATTGCAATTTAAAATGATTGTTTTCTGTTTTAATATACTTTCAAATTTAATTTATTTCTGTGATGGCAAAGCTGAATTTTCATCAGCCTTTACTCTAGTCTGCAGTGTTACATGATTCTTCAGAAATCATTCTAATATGCTGATTGGTGCTCAATTCTTCAGTTACTGACACTAAAGGGTGGCATATATTCACTTTTCTGGAGGCTCACCTGTCTGCAATCCATATTATCATCTAATATAGATCACGATGAACCCTCCTTGGATGCATAATCACTTCTTTATATTTCTTAACATGTATTGTTTTAATCCTTCAATGCAGGACATAAAGAGCCACACCGCAGACACAGGAACAGACTGAAGAGAAAGTCGCCCTCAAGCTGGTTGTCCAACCTGGAGACTCTTAATTCCAAACTCTTCTCTGCCCCCTTCCCCTCAGAAAACAAGCACAACTCCACTAATGAAAGCAGTGACTCCAAGCCACACCAGAGATCAAAGCGTTTCCTCTCCTACCCCCGTTTTGTTGAAGTCATGGTTGTGGCAGACAGTAAGATGGTAGAACATCATGGAAGCAACCTCCAGCACTACATTCTTACACTGATGTCCATCGTAAGTTCTGCCCAGTTAACGATAGTCTCCTGGTTTGATGGGTTTGTGTCTGTTGCTTTAGGTCTGGTGGGGGGGAGAGATACTTGCTCTTACTATGCTCTTATGGGACAGATCATTAGCATGAGGTGAATGTGTCTGACAGACTTGATGAATGTGAATATAAAACAAATACAATCAGGTATGTTGCATGGACTGCATGCTTTAGATGCTTTTTCGTTGGAACTCACAGGGAGGTTAGATGACCTATATTTTGATCTTGGCAAAGACTGCATTCTCAGCAAGATCTGGCAGCACAAACTAGTTCTCAATGGCCAAGAAACTTTTTTTTTTCAACAGCTGAGGTTAATGTCACGTGTTAAACGAGGTCTGTGTTTATTGAAATTCAGAAATAAAAAAAATGAAGTCAGCAAATGTAAAAAACACCCTACTAAGTACTTTTACATTTTGAGTGAGAAATATGTTTTCAGTGGTGTCTTCAGTTACATCAAGGTGAATGCAAATGAAGACACAAAATCTCTTCTTATAAAGCAAGGGTCTCAAACTGATATTACAGGATCCAACAAGTTAGGTGATGTTCTCCAATGGTTATATACACTACCGTTCAAAAGGTTGTGGTCGGTAAGATTTTTTAAAATGTTTTTGAAAGAAGTCTCTGATGCTCAACAAGGCTGCATATTTGATCAAAATACAGTAAAAACAGTAATAATGTGAAATATTATTTCAATTTAAAATATATATTTTAAAAATGTAACTTATTTCTGTGATGGCAATTCACTGTGTTGGATTTTTCAGCATCATTACTCCAGTCCTCAGTGTCACATGATCCTTCAGAAATCATTCTAATATGATGATTTAGTGCTTAAGAAACATTTCTTATTATTATCAATGGTGAAAACAGTTATGCTGCTTAATATTGTTGTAACAATGTAAATATCTTTACTGTCACTTTTGATCAATTTAATGCATCATCCTTGCAGAATAAAAGTATAATTTCTTACAATCTTACTGACCTCAAACAGTTTTGAACAGTAGTATATAATATAATAACTGTTGCAACTCTCTCAGGCTGGTAGATTGATACCCCTGTTGTAAAGTAATTAGAAGCTTTGACAGTGAATTCCAATTGTCTGTGTTCTCTCACTTAGGTTTCCTCCATCTATAAGGATCCCAGCATTGGAAACCTGATTAACATTGTTATTGTGAAGCTGGTCATCATAAAGAATGAGCTGGTAAGAGTTCTGTTTGAGGAAGTGTGGCAATTAATGGTTGCATTAAGAGCTCTTTTAAAATGTACTTAAGCAGTTTATTACAGTTAAGCCTTACTTATTTCCATATGGCTAAATGTATTCGAATGTTCTCATCTGTCTCTGTTCTTCTATAGGATGGTCCCACTATTTCTTTCAATGCACAAGCCAGTTTGAAAAACTTCTGCATATGGCAGCAGAGTCAGAACCATCCGGATGACAGCCATCACTCACATCATGACACCGCCATTCTAATCACAAGGTGAAAGCAATTTTTATGAGATGCTTTCGATTTTGGATATTTCTTTACCTAATCTTATTGCTCACAGTTGTTGTAGAATACATAACATACGATAAGTCTAGTTGTGTGATGTTTTGTGTCTTCTCTCCACAGTGTGATTTCAGTGCCATTCATGTGGCAACACAGAAACGTTATACTTGGTGTGAACGTTGAAAATGGCTAAAATCTGTTAAATTAAAATTATTTGAGTAACAAAGTGATTATTTATGGTGCTACAACTACTTGGGTCATACTTTTCAAGGCTATGAGTGCAGAAAGAAGAAACCAATGGACAGCAAAGACACAAATGCAAGATAGAAGGGTATCCAAATTTGTGACGCCTTATCCTTTTTTTGTTTTTAGGCAGGACATCTGTCGAGCACGGGACAAGTGTGACACTTTAGGTAAATCATCTTTGTGTGAAAATGGTGATTATGATTACACTTATGTCGACAATGAGAATGATGTTGATGGCAGTGATGAGAATTACAACAACAGCTACGAATAATATTATCCCTTTAGTTTTGACTATAACCACTTTGTTCTCATGCTCAGGTCTTGCTGAACTGGGTACAGTTTGTGATCCCTACAGAAGTTGCAGTATTAATGAGGATAATGGACTCAGTACTGCTTTCACCATTGCTCATGAGCTTGGTCATGTGTGAGTACTATTTTTGTGAAATGTTTTGCTTTGTAAATGTGAGTGTACTTTTCCCCTTTAAAATAAATGCCACTTGAGTTCATTGTTTGCTATCTAGCACAATGACAGTCATGCATTTTTAAGTTTTAAATGTGGCTTAAGTGTCCAAATACTTTTTGGGTTGTAACGTCTCCTGAATTGTCCTCAAATGCTCTTGTCATGTTGACTTTGCTTGAGAGGTGCTTTTATTATACCCAGAACTAAATTGTCTTTAAATCGTTTATTTACTGTTGTGTTCTACATTTTTTTAAGTACTGCTTTTAAAATACTCCACTTCTTCAAGGTCCACAAGTTTCTCAGGCCTCTTCACTACAGTTTTTCTATTTTTTAGATGGGTTTCTTTTATTTTGGTATATTTTGGGAAGATGTCTTTGCCTTTTGTAAAAGCTCGATAACAGTGTGTCTGATATGCAACTTCTCAAGGTCTTCTGTTCATCACTGCAGAAATGACTCTGGGCCTTTTTAGCTTAATAGATTCTTGGAAGTAAATTATCTAAATAAATTATGTCATGGCACATACAGCGATCTCATGATGGTCAAGCACATTAAAACAAACATTCTGTCAGTGTCTCTCTGTACCTATTTCAGTCATAGCTTGGCAAAAATCTTAATTGAAATGCTAACATTTATGTCACAATTATGGCAAATGCATCTACACCTAAATTTGCATGTACAGTACAGTCATTTAAATGCACTCTCTTTTTGAATTCCATTCTTATCCGGTGGCAGGTGGTGACATCAGTGCCGTGCGCTTGAGTGGGGATTTAGTCCTGGTGCTGTACAGTGCTATGCAGCGCGTACCAGCTCTCTCCGCTATGGCCGTCACAGAATCTGATATGTGCTGCTGCTCATGGGATTGTTACTTTCCTTACTGGTGGCCAACTGTTATGAGTTTTTTTTATATTGCCAGTATTGCTGGCAATATCCTGAGAGCAGGTTGGCAAATGGTCTATTTAATGCTGATATAAATAATAAAATTTATTGATGACAAATGATAAAATGTTACTGAACTAAAATGAGCACTTATTTTACACTGTTCTTACTAAATATTTACTAAAATATTGAAAATATATATATTTTTTATCCTTTGTGGTTTGGGATATTTAATTGCACAGTCTCACTTCCCCTATTTTTACATTTAGGTTACTTTTCCATCATCTTACACTCACCTGAAGTTAATCTTTAAAAAAACACTAATGTAATAACGTATGTACAGTAATGTAATTTGTTAACTAATCCCAAAATGAATATCCATTCCTCATGTTGTACATCATAATGCTGCGAAGCTTAAATTTAATTGTAGCATTGATTTTAGCTTAAATGTGTTATTTTTTTTATTTATAGTGTTGAGTGTTTTAACATCAGCCATATATATATATATATATATATATATATATATATATAGCTGGCCAATTATTATGTAAATGTTAAATAATTATTGTGTAAATAATTTTATATATATAATAGAGTCACACGCACACACACACACATTATATATATACAGGGCCGCATTAAAACCTAACTGGGCCCCGGGGCTATGAATTACTGTGGGGCCCCCATCACAATAATGATATATATAGCTTAAAATAGGATTTTTATCCAATCAAAATTTTTTATGCATCGCAATTTCATAATTCTTGTTACCAATTCTGATATCACAAAATAAAAAAAATACTAGCCTACGTAAAAATAAACTTACTGAAGACAAGTAAACAGTCATGAATTACAATAGAACAAATAAATGGACCTACAAACACTTAAAGCACTGAATAAGAAATATGATATTGTATAAAATAAATAGACAACAAATAGACTGAATAGTCTTCACTGTATAAATTCAATATACATTATTTTACAAAAGCGATTCGGTCAAGGACAGTGAGTGATTTTTTAATCTCTAATGGTAATGCATGGAATTTACGGGAAAAACTCTCAATCTACTCCACAGCCAATCACGGGCTTCAGCCCCGCCTAGCCCAATGGTTAATGTGGCCCTGTATATATATATATATACACACATTTATTATTTTATTTACATTTTATATATAATAATAATTGACCAGATTGAAAAAAAATTAATTGAAAAAAAAATTGCATTAAAGCATTTTTCACTCAGACATTGCTAGTAAAATTCACAAGAATTACAAAGAAACATCAAGTAACACCTTGAATTAAAAATGACATTTTGAAGTAGAAGACTGGTCAGTCTTACAGATACTGTGTGGATCAGTTTCAGAGTACATGTGTCCTGAACCTGCTCATCATGTTGTCCTGTTTGTGTGTGTGCATGTGTGTTTTCAATTATGCCCTCAGGTTCAACATGCCTCACGATGACAGTAACAAATGCAAAGAGGATGGAGTCAAGAACCAGCAACATGTGATGGCCCCTACGCTCAACTATTACACCAATCCATGGATGTGGTCCAAATGTAGTCGGAAATACATCACAGAGTTCCTCGAGTATGTAAACCTGTGATGTTGGCTTGAACTCTCAATTTTGAGCTCCACATGTCCAGTGTCAACATTCATTTGTTTTCTTCTAAACATTCTCAATTGAGATGGAAACAACGGCATCAGTAGCAAATGGAACAGATTCATTTTTTTTTGTCTTCTGTCACTTACTAAGAACATTTCTGTTGTTTGTGTCTTGTTTGTTTTGTTTTTCTTCGACTCATTTGTTTATCATTTCTCATTAGCATAGGGTATGGTGAGTGCTTGCTCGATGAGCCAGTTTCTAGGCCATACAGTTTGTCCCAGCAGCTGCCAGGACAGATATACAGTGTCAATAAACAATGTGAGCTGATATTTGGGTCTGGGACACAGGTGTGCCCATATATGGTGAGAAGATCCCTCAGGGAATTGCACAACATTATTTATGGAGATGTTTTTAATAAAAAACCACGAAGAGAGTCTGTAGTAGAGCTTGTTAGTAATATCAAAGTGACATTGCTACATGTGCAGAAAAAAAACAGGCGTCGGTGCAAATGCTGTGTGTGTGTTTAAGTGTTGTTTAAGCTAACAGTAAGTGTTTGGATGTTGTGCAGACACAGTGCAGGAGGTTGTGGTGCACCAGTCCAGAAGGAGTCCAGCGTGGCTGTCGGACCCAACACATGCCATGGGCCGATGGGACGGAGTGTTCTCCAGGAAAGGCAAGCACTTCAGTACATAAAATTTGAAAATATTTAGAAAAATGCAATTGGGCTCCAAATTTGTTTAGACCACAACAAACTCCAAAATATATTTTGTGTTAAATGACATGAGTGAGGTTTTGGGGTGAACTGTCCCTTTAAAAAGAAGATTTACAGCGTTTTCTGTTATGAAGCAATAATACACTTGGCTGGTTGCTTGAGTTTACTGTGCAATATGTGATTTGTGTGTAGGTCCAAAAGATGTTTTTTGTAGTTGCAAAGCAGATGAAAAGCAGTGCATTCATCAGTGCAACTTCAAACAAATTTTTCCTCCAAATAGCGACCAAATCACTTGCACAATGACACTCGTCCTCACTAATATATTGTTTTGACCCTTTCTCTGTTTTACAATGTTTCCCAGATTGTGAACTCAAGTCAGATTTGCATAGTGGTAGTGATTGTGAATGTCAGTGCATCTCTCATGACCTCCATATGAAAAGCATTGCAGATAGCATCACAGAAGGGCAATTTTACATGGTTGCCAGGTATCTCAACATTGAATTACTGCCATGCATTGTTTTTCTCTGAATGTCATATCCTTTCAGTGTGGTATCATACAGCTTGATGTATCTAGATATGCACAGGATCAGTCTCGTGCAGCTTGTTTTGATTTTCACACTGGGACCACCCATGATATGCGGATTGTCTGGTAATCATTGGGTGAAACTGTTTTACATCTGAGCTTTGCATCACCCAGCTTGACCCATGTGCAGTTTGACGGCGGAATAGTGCTGAAGCTTGGCGCTTCGTTCCATAAAGTTCATTGCACTGAAAAACATTGTCATGATTCATATGAAAGGGGTTTCTAAAGGCCACGATATACTCAGAACGTAGTTCTTTGTTGTTCTTCGTTATGAGGTAAAAAGAAGTGTGACTTTCAGAAAAAATTACTAATTTAATTTCTGCTATAAAGCAGTTTGTTCAGTTGCCATGTACCAATGGTAGTTTGAAGGCGTTTATCGACTGGAGCAAACTTTTCCTTAAAAGTTCACTTTGGCAAGCTGTTTTTAACTCCCGAAACAAACTTTGTTGTTGTTTGTTGAAATTAAAATAGATGAGACAGTAGAATAGATAATTCAGCCAAACAGATGCTTGACAAGGGCTTTGAGTGAAACAAAACACACTTTGAATTGTCATGTTGTCTGTGTATCAACATCATTCCTTGTCCTTCTAGTTGGTGGACTTTATAACATCTTTTCTGTGTTTGCTTCTCGTTTGCAGCATTGTAAACATGGCCTGTGCATCCATAAAGAGCATGAATCTGTTCCAGTTGAAGGGGCCTGGGGCGTCTGGAGTCCCTTTGGCACATGCTCAAGGACCTGCGGAGGGGGAATCAAGATAGCTGTGCACGAGTGCAACCGACCTGCGTAAGCTGCCGCTCTTTGTAGTCTTGCATTCTCACTGGACTGTGAATTGGCACCAGGTTTCTCAGTGTTCCTTGACAAATGACAGCATCACAGCCATCCTGAAGAAGAATATTCTTTAAAAGAGACTGTATGCTTAATGCACATGGGTAGACAGCAGGTTTTGCTGTATTTAAATTGCAGTCAGACACAAACATCATAAAAAAAAAATAGAAGGGACTTTCTAAGAAAGGATTTATAGTTACCATTTATAGTTACTTTTTCTCAATTTGACTATGTGCTCTGTTTATGTGTTTTTATGACATTTAGGCCCAGAAATGGGGGGAAGTATTGTGTTGGACGCAGAATGAAATTCCGTTCCTGTAACTCTGAGCCATGTTCCAAGCAAAAGAAAGACTTCAGGGAGGAACAGTGTGCCAGCTTTGATGGGCAGCACTTCAACATCAATGGTCTACCTCCAAATGTCCGCTGGGTGCCAAAGTATAGCGGAAGTAAGGGATTTAGTCCAATGATTGCAAATGGCACAAATTCAAGGGATAGTTCACTCAAATTTGAAAATGTTGTCATTTATTTCTCACTGTCATGTTGTTCCAAACCATTATGACCTTATTCTGTGGAACACAAAATATAATAATAGGTTTTGAAAAATGTTAACGCAGGTTTTTTTCAAACAATGAAAGATCATAGTGACCATGTGTGTTAAACTCTGAAAAATGACCAAAAAAGGCAGTCATGTCTGTTGCTGTTGCTTTTCTTCCATATATCTTCTATATGTGTTCCACTGAAACAACTTGTAAATAAACAGTTATAATTAGAATATTTTTTATAATTAAAAATGACAAAAAAAAAAAAAAACGAAAACGAAAATGAAAATATAAAAATAAAAGCTAATTCTAAATATTAATAAATACTGTAATAGTAAATAAATGATACTAAAACAACACTGCAGATTTCTCACTTGATGTTTGCCAGTATGCCCTCAGTATGCCCTCATATGCCCTCAGTATTTGTTGAGGATGTCCCTATAGAATAAGTTTCTTAATTGTTTCAGTTCAAACTAATTGTTAAACTAATATATCATTGCTTTCAGTATGTATAACCCATATTAAACAATTCCCCAGAATTCCCTCATTATTTGAGACATGGTGGAGACAATGATTTCAAAGGTTCCATACTTTCAAAATTAAATTACCAAACCCAATTACATTTTAATTACCTTGGGAATTGTGTAGTACAATAGCTATGATGAGAAACATATTATCAATGTCCTAAATACAGTAAGGCTGAAGTCACACTGTATTAACTCTTTCTCATGGCTCTGTGTGCTGTAGTTCTGATGAAGGATCGCTGTAAGCTATTCTGTCGTGTGGCGGGCAGTACAGCTTACTACCAACTCAGGGACAGAGTTATTGATGGCACGCAGTGTGGGCCTGACACCAACGACATCTGTGTGCAAGGCCTGTGCAGGGTGGGTGCATTTGTGTGTCTGTATGGTGTGAAAATGCACTTTAAATCAACGAATATCCTGCAGAATTTGAAGAAGTAGTCCTGTATAATCCTGTTCAAGTGTCCTTTGAATTAATTCCACATCCTGTTTCTGCAGCAAGCAGGATGTGACCACGTGTTGAACTCCAAGGCCAGGAGAGATAAGTGTGGAGTGTGTGGTGGGGATAACTCATCTTGCAAGACTGTGGCAGGAACGTTCAACATAGTGCATTATGGTAGGTGACACAGGTTGTCAGTTTAGTTCAGTTCAGATCAGTTCTTTTCATATTAGTCAAAGTAACCCAGAGTAGCTTAATTCAAATTTAGCTTGATTCACTTCAGGTTCACGCAGTTCAACCCAATTACAGACCAAAAGAACAATAATATTTTTACTCTATATTAATAATTTTGGAAGAGCATTTTATTGATTCCTGCTTTTTTATAGGTTACAATGTTGTGGTGCGAATTCCCAGCGGTGCTACAAACATAGATGTGAGACAACACAGCTATTCAGGGAAACCAGAGGACGATAACTACCTCGGTAAGGCAAGAAATCATATTAGACGTTAAATACAAAAGCATATGATTTTTTTTTTTCATTTCAGTTGTAGTTCAATGGTAGTTCAGAGGATTTAAATAAAACTTGACAATGTAATAATAAATATTAGAGATGCACTGATAATTGTGGCCAATACGGATACTGATAATTATTTTCATGTTATATTCATATTAAATTTAAATTATATACTATTTTGTTTAATTAAATAAAAAAAAAACTAAAAACCTATGTATTTTTTAATAAAATACACCTAAAATACTAAATGCTACAAGTGCATCGTACAACATCATAATGTAAAGTATGAAAATAGATAGTTATTTTGAGATTTGATTTTAAGATAATATTGCATTTAAAAAAGTTAAGTTATTAGTTTAATTATTTAAAGATTTACTTTAAATGAACATTAGATGTTGGCAAAAGTAATGACAAATGAGTATATAATTAAATATCCAACATTGGACGATACAATTTTACATTTTAATAATCTAAAATCAACAGATAACAAAATGGATGGCATCAAAATATCATGCATCCCTAGTAAAAATGTAATATTTTTGTCAGGAGTCTATAGAGCATGTTAGAGTTCAGTTTGTGCTGATGCTTTACGCATCATTACATGACAATTGTCAAATGACAAATTGATATGCATATTGATCATGAACAATCCTAATTTAAAATGAATCCTATGTATTTGCTTTGATGTGCCATAAGTAAACCGATGTCAAGATTTACTGCAAGCTTTTCAAGAGGCTTTTGCAAGAGTTTTCATAGATGTTTTTGTGTTAATGCTTCTGAACTCTACAAACCTAAGGAAATATGTGCTGTTTTCAGCAGATTACTGAGCTGTGCTTGTGTGTTTATTGATATCTTTGCATGCCTATGTGTATTTGGCTTATATGTGTGTGTTTTTGTATGAGAAACAAGGGTTGGCCAGTGTAATGTGTGAAGTAGTGAGGAAAGTAACTCAGGAAATTAGCTACATAATCACATTAGTGTGCATATTTGAAGCATACTGACTTCAGTAGAGCAAGACGTGGCCTTCTCATGGAAAACTGGATTTCTTTACCCCGATTAGCCTGACTGTTGCTAAATCTGACTGTAAATGAAAATGTTTTATTCCTTAGGTCATGCAGGTCTAGTGAATCAAATTTGTGTTTAAAACAAATGGATGCTATTCGATTGTTGATCCTGTCACATGCCTGAATATATATTTGCTTTTTGTGCTTGAACATAAAGAAAATAAAGCATGCATGTTGTTTCATTTTTGTTTTGCAGCCTTGTCCAACGGCCGTGGAGAATATTTACTCAATGGAGATTTTGTGGTCAGTATGTTTAAAAGGGAAGTCAGAGTAGGGAATGCTGTTATTGAATACAGCGGCTCTGACCATGTTGTTGAGAGAATCAACTGCACTGACCGCATAGAAGAGGAGATTATTATCCAGGTAATATGGCTTAAGTGAATTCAATTTTAACTTTTATGTTGTCTTACATTGTGAAATATTACAACTTCACATTTTAAGAACGTGTCAATCGTTTTTGAACTCTTTGTAACATCATACTTTTGGTCTATATGTGATCTTTTCCAACTAGGTGCTATCCGTAGGTAACCTCTACAACCCTGATGTCAGGTATTCCTACAATATTCCGATAGAGGACAAACCTCAGCAGTTTTTCTGGGATGCGTACGGCCCGTGGCAGGATTGCAGTCTTTTGTGCCAAGGTGGGTGTGAAAGAAGCAACACATATTGCTTTGTGAAACAGTTGCCAGAAATGTCAGTTTAGAATTTGGTAAACTTGAACCAGACGTTGAATGCTGGCTGGGTCATCCAGTTCAGTGTTTCTTGGAAATTTGGAGAATGCAATGAGGAACTTTCTTTTTTCTTTCTTTGTCTAGATCACAAACATGTGTTTGAACTTGTGTATGTCTTGTGCTGTATGTTATGTGCATCAGGAGAGCGCAAGAGGAAGATCATGTGCAGTCGTGAGTCGGATCGAGTGGTTGTGTCTGATCAGCGGTGCCATGGCTCTCCCAAACCAGCTGTGATCTCTGAGCCATGCAACACAGACTGTGAGCTCAGGTACATGTCCACATTGACTAGTTTTATAAACTTTTAGTGTCTTGTTTAACCAAAATATACACTAATGTCAAAAGTTTGGAGTTAGTGAGAGAGTGTGTGTGTGTGTGTATGTGTGAAAGAAATTGTGACCCGTGCTGGCAAAATGAGTCGGAATGCGCACGGGCTAATTTTGAGCTACAGGCAAAAAAAGTGAAAAATTTAGATTTTAGTAGATTTTGAGGTTTTCACAAAAAACGGGTTCATTAAGCCCTCGTCTAGCAATCCCAATGCTCCAAATAATAATTTTAGATGTTTAATTACCTTTATTTGTAAGTTTTCTGAGAGGAGTACCTTTTCTCTGCTCGCTTCTCATGCTGACTCTCATCCAAAGCATGCGCATAAAGGCACTTCCGACTGCGAGCGATTTTGCTTTGGTACCTTCAGAAAACTTTAACTCGATTTTTCTCAAAATTGACTTTGCTAACTCTATCAACATCAAATGGGTGTAGCTCAGTCATTTTTCATCTGATTTCAACAAATCATACATCATTCTGAAGGTCTCTTGATGGAGAATGTGAACATAAAATAACTCATTTTTGAAAATTTGCTCATTGTGACTCATTTTGCTAGCACAGGTCACAATTATTACTTTTATTCAGCAAAGGCACAATAAATTGATCAAAAGTGACAGTAAAGGCATTTATAATGTTATAAAAGATTTCAATTTCTAACAAATGCTCTTCTTTTAAATCTTCTATTAATTAAAGAATCATGGAAGAAAAATATTAAGCAGCACAACGTTAAGATATGTTTCTTAAGCACCAAATCAGCATATTAGAATGATTTCTGAAGGATCAGTGACACTGAAGACTGAAGTAATGGCTCCTGTGGATTCAGCTTTGCCTTCACAGGAATAAATGGCACTTTAAAATATATAAAAATAGAAAACAGTTATTTTAAATAGTAATAATATTTTGCAATATTACAGTTTTTACTGTATTTTATTTTTTGATCAAATAAATGCAGCCTTGGTGAGCATAACAGGCTTCTTTCAAAAACATTAAACAATCTCACCCAAAATTTTAAATGATAGTTTGTTTGTTTGTTTTTTTTATTTTTTTTTATATATATATGCAACATTGGGTTAAATTTGTTGCATTTCTTAAATTTACAGGTGGCAGGTTGTTCGCAAAAGCGAGTGTACAGCCATATGTGGTCTGGGTTTCCGGACTTTGTACATTTACTGCATCAAACAGAGCAGGTTGAATGGGAAAACCCAGAAGGTTGACGACCGGTATTGCAGCAGCCAGCACAAGCCTGAAGACAAGGAGGTGTGCCATGGAGACTGCAACCCTGGTGGATGGGAGTACTCTCTCTGGTCTGAGGTGCGAAAAACCTCATTGGTCTCAAATCAGCTCTTGTTGAACATATTGATGTACTTGTAAAAATGTGGACTGTATATACTTGACATATAACTTACCATGAGGATTTTTTTCTTGGTTATCTAGTGCTCCAGGAGCTGTGGAGGAGGAACACGTCGTAGAAGTGCGGTATGTGGAAAGTCAGCAGAAACTGATGACGAAAGCAAGTGCAACCCACAAGAAAAGCTCACAGTCCAGCCTTGTAATGAGTTCCTGTGTCCTCAATGGAAAACTGGAGACTGGTCTGAGGTAAACACTGACCAATGCATCCCTTGAAAATATGGGCAGCATCAAATTTAATCTGGATTCATGCAGACTATGCTTAAACCTTCAGAGTAAAAATGTAGTCGTCCATCACGACTTATCCTAATGCTAATTTGGAATTAATTTTGTAGTGTTTAGTGACATGTGGCAAGGGCTATAAGCACCGCCAGACTTGGTGTCAGTTTGGAGAAGAGCGTTTGGATGACCGTTTATGTGACTCATCCAAACCAGAGTCGGTACAGGCCTGCCAACAGCAAGAATGTGCATCCTGGCAGGTGGGACCCTGGGGACAGGTGAGAGAAACGATTTATTTCATTGCTGTGAATAAAACATTGTTTTGGTGCGTCATGTTTAGGTGTGTCAGCTATTACATGAGGTATATTTGATGCTTATGCCTGTGAAATGGAAATTCAAGTGTATTGTGATGAATGCAATGTAATTTCCAAGAGTCAGTGCAGTCATAGATATTGTAAATAGATTATCACAGCTGCAGTGTGGGTGGAAAGCAACCACAAAAATTGAACAAGGTTAGGAACCAGACAAAGAACAGCATTTGGTACTTTTGTGCTGGTGTGTAACACATGCGAAACAAACATAACTATGCTGTTTTATAAGGTCTGTGGATCCTTGAAAGGTTTAAAAATGTGTTTCATTTGCTTTTCAGAATTCAAGGCCATGAAAAGTCTGAAACATCTCAGAGAAAAAAGTTTTAAATATTGTTCACAGAGGTCCTACATTTGTTGATTGAAAGATTTGCTTCTCTTTAGGCAGCCGACTTAATATGACTCTGATTTAAAGATTCTGTGCTACATGTACTTTAATAAAATGCCAGCAGAGCAAGTTTAAAGTTTTTTGTCGGCAATCAGCACTCATCTTGTTTTTTTTTGTTTTTTTTGTCAGCTGTACATGGAAATCAGTAATCTACATTCAATGGTGCAATACACTGTGCTGCTTTAAAACATCTGTGTGAATGTGCCATTTTTGATCTTGTACTGCCTTTGCAAATGAGATAAGGCTGATTTTTTTTCATTCTGATTTATACGATAAGCGCCGTTGAATACTGAAGAAGTATTACAACTGTTTTCTATTTTAATATATTTAAAAATTACATTTGTTTCATAATGGCAACCCTGAATTTGCAGCAGCATTACGCCAGACTTCAGTGTCACATGATCCTTCAGAAATCATTCTAATATGCTGATTTCGTGCTTAAGAAACATTTATGATTATGATCATTATTATTAACGTTGAAAACAGTTGCTTAAATATTTTGTGGAGACCGTGGTTGTTGTTATTTTTTAATAGATGAACAGAAAGTTAAAAAGAACAGCATTTAGTCGAAAAGAAAAGAAAAGAAAATCAAGTAATTTCAGAGTATTGAATATAATAAAGACTTTTTTTAGCCTATTTTTAGCCAATCATACAGTTGAGCAGAATGTGGTGTTTCATTTTTTAAAATCTTTTTTTGTTGTTGCAAAATTCATCTTAAATGATTTTTAAAACTTGCATACACCATGTGAATATCATCCATTCATGGACAGTCTGTTTTCTATCCATTTGTGCAGTTTATGGCTGTCTTTAGAAATGTGAATTGTTTTTTTTCCAGAGATCTCCCAGAGGGTAATCACACAATTTGTAACATTTGTGTGGGCAAACTATCTTTAAGTCCTAAAGTATGATAGAGATTAGACATCACTCTTGCATAGATTAAGCAATCATGATAAATACATGTTTGAGGTGCTTTACTGAAGCATATGAGATCTAGCTGCAAATGCTGCCACACAAGCTTGACCTTGTTGCAGTCAAGTCAGCGATGAGGAAAAGAGTTTAAAAAAAAAAAAAAGGAGAACGGTGTACAAATTACTGGCCCATGTCTCAGGTTGCCCATGTGGTTGCTTATCACATCAGTGCTGGACTGATGCCAGCAGGCAAATAGTGAACAGTCTTAAATTTCATCTTATTCTCTTGGGTAAATCATAGGCATTACTATGTAACTGTAGCGTCTGGACCAATCAGACACACCATTTTTCATTTGATTTAACAAATCAATTATTCATTAGATTAACAAACATTCACAGACCCCTCACCCAATAAACATACTGGGTGCCAAGTTGTCTGTGAACGAGGCCCAGGACCCTGGTTACCATGGCAACCCTGACACCTTTGCTAGACCAGATAGATTTTACGACCTAATGGCATGTTGAGAGTCCTCCCCCTCTCACTGCATTTTCCATAGGAAGAGACACAATGCACAGTAGAAATGGACTTTTCTACTAATTAATTCATAGGAAAACCTTTCTTTGAATGAACACACATATCCTTCAGGTCATTGTGTATGTTGTCTTTGAGATTTTATACTGTTTTATGCAGGCTACCACCACTCGTTCCTGTCATCTTGCCTATATGTAATCCTACCATGTTTAGTATCTATGAATTCGCCTTCTGATGATCTAAACGAGCGTGTATATTATATGTTGGTACATAGGCAATATATTAGTGTCCTGAGAATCTTTAGTAATTTCGATTCAAGTTCCATATGCAAATTACCATGCTTTCACACAAAGGGTCATAAAAATCCCCAGTATGTCCAACCTCCTGCTTGGGACGTCAGCCTTTCTCATTGGACAAGCCCATCTTGAGAGGCGGGGATCTTCTCCGACCTTAAAGGCCCACACCAGGGACCCTCCCAGAGTCGGTGGTTTGGTTGAATTCTGAGAAGATGAAGATGTGAGCAAACGCTCCAGGACACCTTAAGTACGTGCCAGGCTTCGGCCTTGACTTTTCCATTCACCAAGATTCTCTGACTCAAACTGGTTCTTTTTCATCAACCAACTTCAGCAAAGATCAACTTGAACCTTCGGACTGCATCAAGCCTCTCTTTCAGACAGACGAGACGTGCAAGTATCAAACTTAGTCTTATTAACTGATACATTAGGTATCATTTGCACCTTTTTACAAAGGTGTGTTTGAACTAAGAATCTGATGTTTCCTTCAGGCGGTAGATCTGCTGAATATGCAAATGGTTCCATAACTTCATTCCTTATTTCTCTCCTCTTTACTGCTTAAGCTTAACCCTTTCCTATACCAACTGTATGCGTGTGTGTGTGTGTGTGTGTATGTTAGACCAGTTTAAGTGTTTATGTAGTATGTTAGACTAGTTTAAGTGTTTATGTAGTTAATAAAGTCTTACTTGTATCACACTTGACGTTGTTCATTGTTTGCTCATAACTGGAGTCCCTAATCATGCAGATTTATGCTACAGGCTCTGTGTAGAGTTGTACAGTAAGAAAGTTATTTCCCTTAACCAGGAAATTAACGTTCTTAGAATTGACAGACAGTTGACCCTGAGAGGTCAAGTAAATATCTACAGCGGATCTAAATATTTATAATTAATTATAACTAGTTATGATTAATTATTCATATTTCCTCATGAGCTGATTCGCTACATAACATTAAATAGGATACTGCCCCTAACTGACCTCCCTCTTTATTTGTGTGTGTAGTGTACCACCACATGCGGCCCGGGCTATCAGATGAGAGCTGTGAAGTGTGTGGTTGGCTCATACGGCTCTGTCATGGATGACTCTGAATGTAATGCAGCAACACGTCCAACGGACACTCAGGTAGGAGCATTGATCTCTAACATTCATACTGACTCTCATTAATTTCTCTATTTCTCAATATTGATTGTGAACTAAGAACTGTGTTAGTTTTTCATAATGTAACTACTGAAAACTATAAAGGGGTGAACCAGTCTTCCTGGTTCAATTTGCTGTATGCTTAATGAAATGAAAGAGCGAGAAGCCAGTGTTGGGGTTAAAAGTTGCTTTTATTAATTGAACCACACCACAATTAAGAAACCTTAGCAAATCATGTGTTTTCATTTATTGCAAACACTGTTTTGCCTTGAAATGGACATGATTAGTGATACTATTACATTAATGGGATAGTTCTCCCAAAAATGAAAATTGTCATTATTTACAAGTTGAGTTTCTTTTTTTCTGTTGAACTTAAAAGAAGATATTTTGAAGAATGTTGGTAACCAAACAGTTGACAGTATTTTTTTTCATACTATGGAAGTCAGTGACTACTAGCAACTGTTAAAGGTTTGGAAGAACTTTAGGGGAATAAATGATTACAGAATTTCATTTTGGGGTGAACTGTCTCTTTAAATGTTTTGTTTGCATTTTATACATTGTTATTCACTTAGTTTGCAAGTTTACAGTCACTTTCATCTCTCTTAGGTATGTACGAATATCATTTTACTAAGTATTTTTACACCATACTGGAATGAGAAACTGGAAAAGAGAAAAGAAAGTGCATGCATGTATAGCCTGAAAGGCAGGAAGGAAGTTTCCCAACCAGCATATTTATGACCTGCAGTCAATAAGGCCTTGTCTGAAGGAAGAGCAAACACAAACACACACACACACACACACAGGTTGAAAAGTGGGGACATCCCATAGGCGTAATGGTTTTTCTACTGTACAGACCGTATATTCTATTGCCCTACACCAACCCTACCCCTAAACCTACCCCTCACAGGAAACTTTGTGCTATTTCAGATTTTCAATACACTCCATTCTGTGTGATTTATATGCGTTTTGAAAAGTGGGGACATGGGGTAATGTCCTGAAAAGTCACCTTCTCCTTGTAATACCCTTGTCATTATACAAATATATATCCTCATTTGTCACAAAAACGCGCGCACACACACACACACACGCACACACACACGTGCTGCATCAGGTCATTAATAGGATAATTTTGGAATAATGTTTTGGAATATCTAAAAATATCAAGTCATTTTAAATTTATGTTTCTTTTTTTTTTTTTAGAGCTGAAAAAGTCATGACAATTGGTACAATCTTCAGTTGATACAACTTCACAAATAACTGTAGTGAAGTAATTTTTGTGAGTGAATCAGTGTTTTGAATCGTTTACTTCAATGAATTGGCCAAATAGGTACACAAATCTATTTAATAATGATTAATTTATCGGAATTATTTTTAAATATATATATATATATATATATAGTACGCAAATGCGCTGTCAAGACTTGTTTACACAGCGCATTTTTTATTTTGGTCGCGCATGCGCACCTGCGTACCACTTATGTGCACCCCTATATATATATATATATATATTATTAATCCTTTAATCATTAACAACTGTAAAGATTAAAGAAATACTTTGGTCAAACTGTGTGGGAACCTGTGTGTGTGCACCTTTAACTTGCGTGTTTGCATGTGTAGTTTTTTTTTTTTCAGGTTGAACTGTTATGGTTATAACTTCTATGTCTATATAGTTCCACTACAGATTTATATTTAATAGTTATTTAACTTCATTTGCAGTCATCTGGATCTTAATTTTATTTACTTAACAATCTGCACATACCTGCAAAATTACATTTACCCTGTTCCCCCTCCTCCAGTGAAATGGTGCTGCAGAGCTGGAGTGGCTGTACGCTGTGTTTCATAGACTATTTTATGAACTTTCCTAAGGCATTGGTTTTATAGAGCTTCGTTTTCACAAGGCTTTTAGGAGATGATAGAAAGAGCCCTTTTTCCTCACCATCAAGCCAACCAGGTTGATAAAAGTCTAAGAACATGTATACATAAGACATTTACTGTAATATACACTATAAGAGACAGAGAGAGAAAATAGTTGAATAAATCAGGGATTTTGTACAGTCAGCCGGATTATCGCAAAATAAACCCAGGCTAGATGATCAGGACCCGTTCACAAAGTGGAAAGCACCCTGAAGGAATTTATTTGACGATAATACCAGGATGACTCTGCATTATCCCACATATTACACAGCTACTTACCAAGGTAAAATGTTTATTTGAGTTGAAATTATTCAGTTATATAAAATATAAGCAGAAAGAACAAGCATAGCTGTTCAGTAAATCCAAGTTTGTCTTAAAAAATGGTGGGGACAGGATGGGAGGGGAGGAGGTTACATCTGCTTTTATATATATATATATATATATACAGTGGGTACGGAAAGTATTCAGACCCCCTTAAATTGTTCACTCGTTGTTATATTGCAGCCATTTGCTAAAATCATTTAAGTTAATTTTTTTCCC